ATGAGAGAAGCTGGTATGAACTCGACCTCTCTTGTTTTTGTAAATATGATGAGTTCATCATTCCTGATTCAGCTTATTATGAAGTAAACATATTTGCATGACATTTAAAGATTACAGTTGCTTGTGCCATGCTTGATTAGCTATGAGTTATAATGGTTTTACCTTGCGTGCCAACATGCTATTAGAATAATTATGATGTGGTATGATGGGATGGTATATCCTCCTTTGAATAAATTGAGTGACTCGACTTGGCACATCTTCACGCATGTAATTGAAACAAATCAACATAGCCTTCATGATATTTATGTTCATGGTGGATTATATCCTACTCATGTTTGTATTCAGTGTGAATTAATTTTAATGCATGTTTATGACTGTTGTCGCTCTCTTAGTTGGTTGCTTCCCAGACTTTTGCTAGCCTTCACCTGTACTAAGCGGGAATACTGCTTGTGCATCCAAACTCCTTAAACCCCAAAGTTATTCCATATGAGTCCACCATACCTTCCTATATGCGGTATTTACCTGCCGTTCCAAGTAAATTTGTATGTGCCAAACTCCAAACCTTCAAATGAAATTCTGTTTTGTATGCTCGAGTAGCTCATGTTTCGACTAGGGCTGCCTATATCTTCTATGCTAGGTGGGTTATTCTCAAGAGGAGTAGACTCCGCTCCTCATTCACGAGAAAGGAGCGGTAACCGAGATGCCCAGTCCCATGATCCAAAAAGATCAAAGCAAATCAATATAATTAAAAAAACTCCCCCAGGGTTGTTGTTAGTTGGAGGCACTCGTTGTTTCGAGCAAGCCATGGATTGATGCTTGTTGGTGGGGGGGTATAAACTTTTACCATTCTGTTTGGGAACTGCCTATAATGCATGTAGTATGGAAGATACAGCCATCTCATAGTTGTTGCGTTGATGGTGAAAGTATGCCGCTCAAAATGTTATTCAATCTCTATTTTAAAATCGAGCTCTGGCACCTCTACAAATCCCTGCTTCCCTCTGTGAAGGGCCTATCTATTTACTTTTATGTCGAGTCATCACCTTCTTATTAAAAAGCACCCGCTGGAGAGCACACTGTCATTTGCATTCATTACTATTGGTTTATATTGGGTATGAATTGACTAGATCTCTTTTACCATGAATTACAATGTTTAGTCAGTCCTTGATCTTTAAAGGTGCTCTGCATTTATGTTTTGCGGTCTCAGAAAAGGCTAGCGAGATACCATCTTGTTATATCATGTTATGATTGTTTTGAGGAAGTGTTGTCATCCGAGTTTTATTATTATGGCTCGCTAGCTGATTATGCCATTTATATGAGTAGTTGTGAGACCTAAGTGTTATTGTGAGTATGGTTAGTTCATAATATTTGCTGAAACCTGAATGCTGACTTTGCATGTTTACAACAACAAGAGCAAATAGAGTTTGTAAAAAAATTTCTTTATCACTTTCAGTTTATCAACTGAATTGTTTGAGGACAAGTAAAGGTTTAAGCTTGGGGAGTTGATACGTCTCCAACGTATCTACTTTTCCAAACACTTTTGCCCTTGTTTTGGACTCTAACTTGCATGATTTGAATAAAACTAACCCGGACTGACGCTGTTTTCAGCAGAACTGCCATGATGTTGTTTTATGTGTAGAAAACAAAAGTTCTCGGAATGTCCTGAAAATCCTCGGAGGCAAGTTTCGGAAAATATAAAAAATACTGGCGAAAGAATCAAGACCAGGGGGCCCACACCCTGTCCACAAGGGTGGGGGCGCGCCCATCCCCTAGGCGCGCCCCCTGTCTCGTGGGCCCCTTGAGGCTCCGCCGACCTCAACTCCAACTCCATATATTCTGTCTCGCGGAGAAAAAAATCAGAGAGGAAGTTTCATTGCGTTTTACGATATGGAGCCGCCGCCAAGCCCTAATCTCTCTCGGGAGGGCTGATCTAGAGTCCGTTCGAGGCTCCGGAGAGGGGGATTCGTCGCCGTCATCATCATCAACCATCCTCCATGAGCAATTTAATGATGCTCACTGCCGTGCATGAGTAATTCCATCGTAGGCTTGCTGGACGGTGATGGGTTGGATGAGATTTACCACGTAATTAAGTTAGTTTTTTTAGGGTTTGATCCCTAGTATCCACTATGTTCTGAGATTGATGTTGCTATGACTTTGCTATGCTTAATGCTTGTCACTAGGGCCCGAGTGCCATGATTTCAGATCTGAACCTATTATGTTTTCATGAATATATGTGTGTTCTTGATCCTATCTTGCAAGTCTATAGTCACCTATTATGTGTTATGATCCGACAACCCCGAAGTGACAATAATCGGGATACTTCTCGGTGATGACCGTAGTTTGAGGAGTTCATGTAGGAGGCCTTAATATCCCTTAGTTTCCACTAGGACCCCGCTGCCACGGGAGCGTAGGACAAAAGATGTCATGCAAGTTCTTTTCCATAAGCACGTATGACTATATTCGGAATACATGCCTACATTATATTGATGAATTGGAGCTAGTTCTGTGTCACCCTATGTTATAGCTATTACATGAGGAATCGCATCCGACATAATTATCCATCACTGATCCAATGCCTATGAGCTTTTCACATCTTGTGCTTCGCTTATTTACTTTTCCGTTGCTATTGTTACAATTACTACAAAATCCAAAAATATTACTTTTGCCACTGTTACCTTTATTATCATACTACTTTGCTACTAAATACTTTGCTGCAGATACTAAGTTATCCAGGTGTGGTTGAATTGACAACTCAACTGCTAATACTCAATAATATTCTTTGGCTCCCTTGTGTCAAATCAATAAATTTGGGTTGAATACTCTACCCTCAAAAGTTGTTGCGATCCCCTACACTTATGGGTTATCAGACTGCGATGGGAGTCGACCATGAGGACTTCCGCCGCGGGGTCACAACTCCCGCTCTCGGATAAGGTTTCTGCGAAATCAGTCAACAGGTCGACCGATCCGCAGGGAAATACGTCGGGCTCGATCGCCGCGACTTGGGGGGTGAACGCCTGATGAGCCACCGCGTGTCTCACCCACCGCTGGAGCCGCGAACACCCAGACCGCTTGCGGCGACATCCAGTAGAGTGAGATGACGACGCGATGACCGACTGGTATGGGGAAGACGGCTGCCGAAGAAGGATGCCGTAGGAACTCACGCGGAAGTGCGACGAGCCACGAGCCGGGAGGGCCTCGACATCGAGGGGGGCCTCCTGGAGCCAGGCGGAGTTGTCGGCGATGAAAGTGAGCGCGCCGAGTCGGAACTCGCGGCCCATGACCAAACCGCCGCCAGAAACCATGCTGATGAAGATTGAAGAAAATGCAACCTCGCCGGAAGTCGCTAAGACGCTTTGCCCCACGGTGGGCGCCAACTGTCGTGGTTCTAAGTCTGACAGTAAGTATAGGGGGTACGAATGAGGAGGCAAGGTCCTAGCTACGATGAGATTGTACGCAAGTGTTTACGAGTTCAAGCCCCTCTCGGAGGTGGTAAAAGCCCTATGTCTCGGTGCCCTGAGGCGGTCAACTGGATTATGAGTGTGTGTGTGTTACAGGGGGTCCGAACCCTTGTGCCAGAGGAGGGAGGTGGCTTATATAGAGTGCGCCATGACCCCGGCCATCCACCGTTATCAAGAGTTCAATGTACATAAAGATGGGGCATTATTGATAACGCCAGCCATAAAGTGCTTTTAATGATCTTAAAGAATACGGAGTGAACGTCTGACCATTGTCGTTCTGAGTGACTCCTGGTCTTCAGTAGGTCGAGTGGTTTCTTGTATGGCCGAATGATCGACTGGTCGTGTGACATCAGGAAGGAGGGGTACCCGAGTGATTGATTGGTCGAGTGGATTGCACTCGACGCCTTCATTGGGCACTCCTTGTTGTCTCTTGAGCTTCTTTGTTTGTAGGATAGTGACCTTGGGTAGGGCGTATAGGTCAGGCCTATGACCCTACCCCAGGTCTATATCATCATCACCCATCCCACGTCCTCGGTGGTCGTGGTCGCACTGTGCACGACGCATGACGAAGCGGAGAGGATCATCCGTGAGCGTTAGGCGGCCGCCGTGAAGCCCTGCCATGATGTCTCCACCTTCCGCGCCCCAAGCACGACGATGATGACGCCGGATCGGGCGCCGATGAAAGAGGAGGAGCCGCCGGCCAGCCCGACAACATGGCCTATGAGGTTACCGTCAAGTATGGGATAGTTTAGGGTTTTATTTTAGGGGTTTTAGTTGACAGGACGAAATATCGTCCATTTTTATGTACAAATATCCTAATTTCAATGAAATCTGCCGTGTTTATGTCAAAATTTGTCCGGTTTGATTGATTTTCATCCAATTAGTTTGAGTTGTTGTGAAAGTATATGTGGCTACGGCTGAATGGCGTCCTCCCGCATCCCTGTCCATGGATTGGTGCCTCCCATGTTCACGGACGGATGCGGGAGGTTTTTTGCGAGTTACCGTTGAAGATGCCCTAAAAGAACTACTCCCCATATTAGCTTTCACTATAGTTAAATCTTATAAAGTTTGGCCAAGTTTATGGATTACCTCTATCCAAAGTTGCTACAACGCATATGTTATATTTTTTTAAGTAGGTTGAAACCCCGAGCCTCTGTATTATTGTGATGCATACATCTATTTGTGCTAAAGCTGATGTAACACAGTAATGCCAAATACATCAACAAGTAGAGTACAAAATATGAACAACTACGGTGGACCCATTACAAGCTGTGAAATTAAGACCAACAATTACGTCGATTTATTCCACAACAACACCTTAAGAATGGATAAACGCCCTTGCGTCGTTGTGGCACTTCTGATCGGAGATGGCCAGGACAAGGATTTTCATCCGGCTTGCCGACACATATGTTACATACAAAATAAAGGTGGTACTTAATCACCTCTATCCTGGTGCAAGGGCGCCTTAAGCCTTGCGGGTGCGGGACCCATGAGTAATCAACATCTGAGTTATAATCCGAAACTTCTAGAATAATAACTGAAAAGCTAGTTTCTATCGTTGTGCTCTGGCACGGCGAGGAAGGGTTTGAACGTGAGGACAAGTCCAAGGAGCTCTATCATGTTCAGCAGAAAGAACACCATATGATCACCTGCATGAGACGAATGTGGAGAAAAATTATACAGCAGTAAAAACATCACAAGATCTATCAAGTCTCAACTAGTTAAATTGTTAAAAATAATATCTAAAGCAGACCAAGGATTGAAGGATAGCTGCATTTGGCAATAAAATGTATGTTATGTGAAATTTCCTCAAAAAAGGACAACAATGTTTACCTGGAAGGAAGAAAGTATGTTGGCGTGTCTGCGCCCATGAGAACCTGCATACATAGAAGACATGTGAACTTCTGAGCTTCAAATACATTCAGCTTGCATGTAGTTGCCAAAGTAGCAGTGTGAGCTAGTATTAAAGTTTATTTTTCCTTGTAACATATAAAATATTTTGCAGAAGCAATGAGGAACAAAGAATACTCACACAATGCCGGCGCCTGCAGGAGCAACTGCCTTGAAAAGGGACATTGCAGTCATGGCTAATCCATTTGCTGCTCCTCTTTGGTCCTGAGACTGTTAGTAATTGCATGGTCATTAGTGCGACAGATATCTAATATAAAATGCATTTAGTCGAGATTAATTTATGGTTTCCTTACCACAGCGTTGTTTTGAAGGATGAAGATGCCTGTAATGATGGTAGCCTGATATAGTAATCATGAGGAACATTACTAACATGAGATAACTTTTAGTGACCACTGGACAAATAATACACATTATCTAGTTTTTTCATCTTAAAAAAATGTTACAAGCCACAAACATGTACAACTCGTAAGAGGCTGCCAAGCACTAATGTAGAATTTTCACATTGTATATAATTGCCAAATAGTGAGTCAATTCCGAAACTTAAGGTAATAAGGATTCTGAAGTAAGATAACAGGAATACTCACAGCAATATCATTTTTTAAAACTGATGCAATAGTCAGAATGATTGATAATGCAGGTCCTGACAGGTATGTCATATAGGGGTAGGTGAATAGAATAGGTATGCACAAAGCCTGCATGGTCAATCACACTAGTTAAGATATGCAATCAGAGGATAGAAGAACTTCAGAAAATAAACAATAGCATTTTTTTTTACTCACGGCTGCGATTTGACAACATTTGATCGGTCCAAGAACTTTATTGATGCGTGGGTATATGAACATTTGATACACAAGCAAACTGCCACCTGAAATGGACGTACGACACTGACAGTGTTGTTATCACAGAAGGCTGGCTCTACTGAAACGGAAAATTAATACCAAGGAATATGCTTGAGAAAAGAACTTAAAGATATATGCTACTAAGTGTGCACTATGTTAGTGAAATAAGATTGATAATGTACCGAATTTTAATGAACTTCGAGCCCCTTGCAACTGCCACATCAGAGATTGTATGCCTTCGACGGCTCTTGGGCAGGGCGAAGGACGAAACAAATTTAAGGTGGGGCAAACTAATGCAAACACTAAGATCGTTGGCACATACTTAATGTGAGATTGTATGCCTTCGACGGCTCTTGCGCACAGTTAGTATTAAAGTTGCCAAACACCAAGATTGTTGGCCATTTCCCATTTTGTCTAACAGTTAAAGCTCATACTCGGCCCAAATCATTACTTTTAGTTGAGTTGATTACTCTTGGCTGCAACAATATTTGAACAGGCAACGAGAAGATTCCATCATTAACACAGATGGAAATGACTACCATAGCAAGTATAATAAGCTTATGTAAGCGGGTTATAAGAGTTAAAATATTATTTTTCTGTTGATATGGAGGGGAGAGAAGAGGAGCCAGCTGCAGAATAAGAGCCAGCTGCAGCACATGCTCCTAGGCACTATGTGAGAGTGGGGGTGGGCCATGCATGAATAAAGTAGCACATCCTTATATCTAACTATTATACTTGAAGGCTATAAGGGTGGATATATGTGACATGGCAACATCATATAGCCATCAGTTGGCTATACTATTACCCATGCTCTTAGCAGACTTGAAGGAAGAATCCTTAAATAAAGAGTTGAGACCATGTCTAACTGGATTTCTAAACACTTTAGTGTTGAAAACTGAAAAGCAAAATAAAGATACGAGATTATTTTGTACTTTAATTATTGAATATTAATATACACCCCAGTGGAGTTCTTCCCTACTGTTCCGATAAAAAATTAGATAGTTGTCAAAGCACAAACAAACATATACCTGTTATTCCGAGCGTTTGGCCTACATCTACGGACGATAAACCCAGTCCACCATACTTCTTGTCACTTTCAGCCCATAGAGAGAACACCTAAAGTTGATTTCAAATACCATGGTTTCTCAAAAACGAGCTGAAGTTTATTTAAAAATAGGTTGTGTGATTGCTATCAGAAAACTAGAAAAACCCGTGTTAGCAAACAAATATATACCTACCATATATACATACACAGATATACTATACAGAGAGCACATTGATTCTGCTCCTACTAATTATTCTCATTTTTTACCATTCACCACAAGTTTAATTAAAGCACAAAAAGCTATAAGTTTTTCTCTTGGAATGCTTCAATTCCATGAACTAAAAAATAGAAAATAATACCTCTGTATAGGCCATGTCATGATAGGAGAAGATACAATAAACAATTATGGAAGACATCAATGGCCAATTCTTGAATAAGCTCTTCTTGGTATCTACACTAGCACTTTCTTCGACCTTTTCTTGCGGATCAATCAGATGGGCCTCCACAGCTTCAACACTTTGTTTGCCATTTACACTGGCTTTATGCTTGTGTAATGTTTCCTGGAATATGTTTCAAGATATATTACTCCTCTGTTATGTGGCTGCTAGAAGGAGGGCGCGAGAGGACCGGCCGGGGGCCTTTCTGCCCACGGCCGGGCAAGAGGGAAGGGATTTCCTTCTTAATTCTTGCTTGATTAGATTGATACATCTCCTCTCCTTATATAGAGAGGTTTACTTGACTCCCAAGCAAGGCTTACTTGACCCCTAAGCAAGCGACCCCATTAGGCCCATTACGTACTCTAACACTACACCCCACCTGAACATGCAGCTTGTCCTCGAGCTGCAGCCTAACCAACTTATAACCATGACTTGACGCAACACAAACCTAACACCTAAAAACAAGGCTTTTACATATCGGCTTGTTTTATTATTCTCAACCTGAAATGGACTGGGACGCTTTATTTTGGACCTCTTAACAAAAAGTGGACACCATCCGCACGTCGGATGTGCATGTGTACAACCACCTGGATCCCATGGACACCACCTGGACAAAAAGAGTGCATGTGTATGACCACCTGGAAGTGGTCGCAAGAGTGACCAGCAGAGGCGCCCTCGCGGCGGCCGGTGGCGGGATGCAGTGGTGCTACGCGGTTCGCTGCTGTCAGTGACACCATGCCTTCTCCCTGACGGACGGCTGTTGGTTGGCATCACACAGGGAAGAGTGGAGGGCTTGTGATGGAGAATGACGAGGAGGGGTGCGCCCCCCAACCGTCGATGTTGCAGACTTTGAGGTCGCTGCCTGCGGGGAAAACAACATGTCTGCCGCCCGTGGGGGAAACCGCATGCCCAAGATCCCTGATGCAGCGGATGAGATCGAGGTCCTTTGTGCAGCGAAGGGCAACTTGGAGGAGCGGCAGCTGCAGACCACGCATCTCCCGCATGCGCCGACGCGCTAGGAGGCCGCGCGCAGCAGCCTGCAGCCTCACCACTGCCGACACGTGGCGGGTAGCGATCCAAGACGAAAGCGGTGACGGCGACGGTGGGGACTGGACTTGGTGAAGCGGGACTCCCGCCGGCGCGGTCCATGCGGGGCCGGAGCTAACAGACGATGGCTGCTGCAGCTGCAGCGGCTGCAGCGGCGGAGGCCGCCAGGAGCGGCGGCTGCCACTGCAACCAGGGCTGGGCGGTGGTGGCGATGGATGACAGCTGCAGCGGCTGCTGCAGTGGCCCCGCGAGCGCGGCGAAGGCCGCCTGGTGCGGCGGCTGCCACGGTAGCCACGGCGGCGCGGGGGTAGCGATGGGCGCTGGAGGCGCGACGGGAGCCGGCGCCGGCCACTGCGGCCACTGCGGGGCGGCGGCGGCGGCAGCTGCAGCTGGGGCTGCAGCGTCCCAGCGAACGCTGCGGAGGCCCCTGGATGCGGCGAGTACCACGGCAGGGTCGGCGGCCTGGTGGCGGCGGTCGGCGGCAGGGGCGGCGGCGGCCCGTAGGGGCTGGCCAGGTACAGCCGGATCCCCTGAACGGCTGTGAAGAGGTCGTTGAGGACCCCGGTGATCTCCTCCGGGGTGTAGGCGGCGGCCAGTGGTGCGGTGGAGGGTGTCGGCATCTGGGCGGTGGCGGCGCCGAAGGATGCGACCAGCGGCGCGGTGTAGATGGCCCACGACGCGGTGGTGATGATCGGCAGCGAAAGCGACGGGGTGGGTGGCGGCGAAGACATGATCGGAACTGAGCTACCTGATACCAAATTGTTATGTGGCTGCTAGAAGGAGGGCGCGAGAGGGCCGGCCAGGGGCCTTTCTGCCCACGGCCGGGCAAGAGGGAAGGGATTTCCTTCTTAATTCTTGCTTGATTAGATTAATACATCTCCTCTCTTTATATAGAGAGGTTTACTTGACTCCCAAGCAAGGCTTACTTGACCCCTAAGCAAGCGACCCTTATTTCTAATTAACCCTAAGACTAATGGGCCTATTAGGCCCATTACGTACTCTAACACCCTCCGTTCACTTTTGTAAGACCGTTTAGACATTTAAGGCAACACCCAAAATAGTTCAGTTTCAGCTATCTAAAATGTCTTATAAAAGTGAACCAAGGGAGTACAACAAACAGGGGAATAATCAACATTAACTACAAAGAGCATCATCTTTCCTACAGTATCATGTCAGATTCAATGTACTCTTTACTCCTGACACTAGTTACTGAAGGAAAGAACATAAAAGAGTCGCGGACTTGGTTGTAGAACCACATTCAGAAAATGTCGGAGGTCAATTATATTATATATGGCCTCTGAACAAGACATTTGAAAATATTTGGTTCTAAGATTGCCCAGAAAAGTATGCGAAGGTACATCAGGACATATTTATAAATATAGAACATATGTGTTCAGGCCGACAATATAAGGTTTCCTACGGGCCTCATCCCTCATGAAGAGGCGAAAACATAGAAAATGTAATTACAAAGGGGCAATTAGATTGACTGCGTAACCAAGGAAGCTAACACCATTGAAATATCACATACCGGCATCCATAGGCAGCCTATCAGAACAACGGCAGCAAAGACTGATGTGCATAAGCATGGTAAGAAGTACGGGAACCTGACAAGTTTCACCAAAAGTAAGTATCTGCAGAACAATTATCTAGGATAATCTAATTTAGCAACACAAAAGGATACCTTCCAAAGAATGAGTCAGGCGAAAAGATATTTGGATACTTTTCTGCAGGCTGCCATAAAAACAACTAGGTTAGTATACTAACAGGATGACAGTTAAGTACACCATGAAGTTAATTTTTCTCTTCCATACCAGTGCAAGGTAGCCTCCAAGAGCAGGACCAATGATGAGACCTATTGCCCATGATGTGCTAACCTAAATTAAAATAAAGTGATGTCAAAACCAAAAGTAGTGAAAGTAGATACTCCATTGTGTCAAAAAACGTCTTATATTAAGTTATAGAGGGAGTATCTTATAAGTGCATGGGTACACATGACTATCTTACAAGTGATAGTGCTAGAGCTTCATGTTCGGGTCGGCAAACTTCAATAGAATAAGCCTGCAAAAATCAGGCACAAATTCATAACACGAATCTGACATAAAAAGGGTTTGAAATTCGACATACCTTTATTGGTCCGAGTAAGCCATTCAAAGCACCCATGAGAAACCTTGTAGCTATCGCCATCCAATAGGTGACACTAAGCCCAAACAAAGTATTAAATACTACCCTGAGATGTTAACAAGAATCATGTTAGAGACCCAGCTAATAAAATAGGAGTTGAAATCGAGGAATAAACAAGTGGCTAAATGTTACAAACACGGAGAAAACGCTGAACAGAATAACTGGCTTCCTCCCAATACGGTCTGCTGCTATTCCCCAAATAGTCGCAGTCAAAAATCTTCCGAACATAAAAGAAGCACCTGAAATTTTCCAATGAAAACAGAAAATATCACATCTAGTAATCATGCAGTTTTAGTCGTTGAATCATGACGCTCAAGTAATTAATCATATAATAAGAATTTGGTAAGAGAACTCACCTACAAACCCAGCATAGAACCCAATATCTTCTGTTCTTTTTGCAACATGCAAGTCTCTTATCTGTAAAGAAGTAGGAGATAGAATGAAGACTACTAGCATTTAGCAACAGATACATCAGAGATGGGCGTATGCATCGATAAGAAAAGATAAGTGAACAAATTGAAAAAAATCAAGAGTGCTATTTCTTCCTAAATAGTGGCCATGTAAGTATATCTAACTCAAAAAAGTTGGATAATAATACATACCATGAAGTACAAGTAGGGGAACAGTGAAGATATTGGTAAAGCTGGAAAATCCAGAGGAAATATTAGAACCAGAAATTATGTCCAGAAAGAACAGTACAATCACGTGAATGGTAACTTTTTTTGCGGTGGAAGATACTATAGACGGTAACATTAACTGACTTAGTTCATGCTGATTTAGAACTACTACTTGATATCAATAAAATTCGTGTAACAACAGTTAAGCGAAACTGAACCATTCAGTAGTGTAAAAGACAGCTTATACAGTTTTTCATTATTACATATTTTGACAACACGTGCTACTGGCGCCCCTTCTTCAGTAACGGCAAACTCCCCTCTTCCTCCCCCGCCATTGCGGGCACACAAGTACCCAACCAACCGATTCATCCTCACCACTCTCACTAACCACACCGGGACCGAGATCAGTGGCCGCCCAGTGCCACCTTTATCTGCCCAAATTGTTGCCTCCGGAACTGAACCCAATCGAACTGAATGGGCAAACGCCAAAACGAAATGGGCTTCACTCAGTTAACCACCTGGACTCGTGGCATTTCCGCCCGCGCGCGCAGACATTGCCCAGAAAGAGGACAAGGAGGAGGAAGGAATCCAAGACGAATTAGTGAGCATCGGTGATCGACCACGCCGCGCCAAGCAGAAACCTTTCGGGTGTCACTGCATCTTTGTTAGCGCCCCAAATGTAGTGCCCGCTCAAACCGCTGTCATGGCAGCCAACGCGGATGACAGCGAAGCGAGAAACTCTGTCATGGGACAAACCGTGAGGGGAGGCATGCCATCACAAGGCCAGCTCGGCTGGTGTAACCCAATAGGAAATACATTGGGTCCAACTCGGGCTAACACATCATCTACTTAAGGAGAAGAGGAGCGAAGGGAAAAGGCATCCAGTGGATCAGGCTCGGACGGCGGCAACTTTTCTCTTTTATTTTTCTTTCTTCTTCCTCAATAACTACCTACCAAATCATGTGATCTGTATGAACCCAAGAACGTGTATCTATGAGTGAATAGATCAAGTTGGTACTTAGCATCATGGTATCAGAGCTCACCTACCATCCTTCTTTTCCTCACCAGATTTATCTTGGACATCCAACGACGTGTCCATGCCCGCCATATCTTCATCAACACCATGGATATGGCTCTGAAGGACTACCTCGACAAGGTTCACTAGGATTCCAAGGCGGACACCGCCAACGTCATGAAGCAGCTCGACGCGCAAGTATCCCAACTTTGCACCTAGTCGATCTGCACCACTCAAAGGCAGATCTGGAAACTCCCTTCACCAAGCTCGAGTCATTGATCACGTCGCTTTAGGCGACGACTCCAGGAGCTCCCGTCCTCGTTGAGTGAAACGACAACTCTGTCACTACCGCTCATCGGGTGGGAGGCATTCCACAGGCAAATGGGTCATGGCGACGCGCATCTTACCGGAGGCTTCCGTTGGTGACCCCAGCGTCACCGATGGCACTCCTAGTCACAGGTACGCATCCACTACCCATCTCTTCCTCTATTCTCCCCACCATAGGCCAACCCACACCTTCCATGAGCTTCCCCGTCTTCACCGGTCAATAATCCACATCTCTGGAAAACAGTATGTGAACAATATTTCCAAATGTGTCTTCACCGGTGGTGATCCATAGCTCTAGAACGCTACACAAACAATATTTCCAAAGGTTCACACTGCACGAATCCTACTGGGTACCTATGGCTGTTTTGTGTTTTTTGGCCCTCCTGGTATTTGGCTTCCGTTTGTGCAGAAACGCATAGTGGCCATGGGTTGGGAATCCTTCACATCTTAACTCTGCACCAGATTCAGGAGGGATAATCACTAGATGCTGATTCACCAATTTTATGCCATTAAACAACACACTATTATTGCCGATTTCATCGAGCGTTTTGAAACTATAATGAACCACCTGATATCTTATTCAGAATGTACTCACCCATACTTTTTCCTCACTCACTTTGTGGAGGGTCTCTGATCGGATATTCGGGCGGTGATCTTGGTCAACACTACATGCTCGTTGGCCCTACTTTAGGCGGAGGTGGCCAATGACGAACCAACGCATGCTACGATCCTATTAAAATTCAGACAATTGAGTTGTATGTACAGAGAAGTGGTCAAGAACCACAAGGG